TGAGGCTTCTCCACTGGTTTTTGAGATCCTTTCGGTACACCACTCTCATATACAAATACTAAAGGCGATGAAGCAAAAGTCGCCAAGCACAAGATTCAATAACCCTATGCTTCCTGTTTTAACCAGTCGGAGCAAACAGTAGAAGAAACGGTCTGTAGGCTTTGTGAATATGCCCGTGAAATACACTGCTCGACATTGAAAATGAACACCAAGAAGGAATGGTCAGAAATTTATGCTAATTTTGGAGTAGACGCAGGTCGTTGAGTTATGCGAATGGTGTGAAATGCGCAGCTCTCCGACGTACGTGAAGTAACATATAAGGGAAGGAACGGGCAGAATGAGCAATATTCGTGTCGTTATTTCTGCCAGACGAATTATCGAAGAAAGTTGGTTTTCGTCCCTGAGGATGCGTGTAATAGGAGAGAATGCCAAGCCACCGTCAACGAAGGCACTTCTAGCAGATAGACGATTTTACGAGGGGTATAGTGAACTATTCGAGGGCGACCTAATCCGCCTCGTCCCAAAAGAACCATATGATTAAAAATAGGTCAACCCACCTTCAGGCGTATGGTGATCGGACTGAGAAGGGCGGGTTGGTCCTTACGTCAAATCACAGCTGATACCCACATGGATGCGAGCACGGTGCATCGGCTATGGCGAACATGGTTGGAACAAGGAAATGTGAGAAGAAGGAGAGGTGCAGGTGCAGCCAGAGCGACGTCAGCACGCGTGGATCGATGCATACGCCGACAAGCTGTGACGGTCCCGCAAGTCACTTGTACCGCGATTCTGCAGCATGTGCAAGATACCCTGGATGTTCCCGAGTCGACCAGAACAATTTTCCGACGATTGGTTGAACGTGGCCTGCACTCACGGCGTCCGTTAAGAAGACTGCCATTGACTCCAACGTTTAGACAGCATAGACGACAACGTTTAGAGTGGTGCCGGACTGGAGCGATGTGGATGATAGAATGGTGAAACGTCGTGTTCTCAGATGAGTCACTCTTTTGTTTATCCAGTAACAGTCGCCGCATAAGTGTGTGGCGTCGACGTGGAGACAGATCTAATCCGGCAGTAACTGTGGAACGCCCCACCCGCGTGACAACGTGGCATAATGGTTTGGAGCGCTATTGCCTACGATTCCAGGTCACCTTGTAGAGACATTAGGATATTTTTTTGGAAGAGCCAAGATGAAAAATTAACAACGCCTTCGCCGGGAATCGAACCACGGACCTCTGGAATACCGGCCCAGCGTGCAGAACCACTGCACCAAGAAGGATGCTTGGAAAGCGGGAGAAATACCTTATAACCTCTAGTTCGTATTCAGGGCACTATGACGGCCCAACGATACTTGGATAATGTACTGCGTTCGGCGGCAATCTCCTAACTTCAGGGGCTGCCTAATGCAATGTTTCAGCAGGATAACGCGCGACCACACAGTGCTCGCATCTGCCAACATGCTCTTAAAGGTATACAGATGCTTCCCTGACCACCGTACTCTCTTGACCTGTCACCAATCGAACATGTGTGGGATGTGATTGAACGCCGTTTGCAGACTCTGCGCCTGCCTCGTTCAGAAGACGAACTGTGGCAAATAGTTGACATCCTACTGAGCCGACGCCGTTCTCGCTCTGTATTCTGACTATCATTTTGAAATAAAGATCACTTATTGCTGCATGCTGTCTCTGTCTTTTTTCCAAATTTTATCGCTTTCTGACCACTGCTTCTTTCTGTTGCATTTTCATTGTCGAGCAGTGTATGTCGTTTTGGCTATCGCGGTTTAATGGTTTGGGAAGGAATCACAAAAATTGGCCGCACCGAACTGCATATCTTTCAAGGAAGTTCTATAACCGCTCAGAGATATGTGGACGAGGTATTGGAACCCCAAGTTAGACTGTTTAGGGGTCTTGCAGACTAAGAGATTTTGTTAATGGATGACAGTGCTCGGCCTCATCGAGCATATGTGGTGTCAGAATACTTGTAAACAGAATATTTCACTCCAAAGGCTAGGCCACCTTACTTCACCCAACTTGAACCAGAGTGAAATGAGTGAACTGCCTTAGGCGATGAATTTCAGATCGCCAAAGTTTTTCCTGGACCCTCCAGGAGTTGAAAAGAGCACTTTTAGGAAAATGGCGTGCAATTCCACAAGACCTGTTAATTATACATCATGCTAAATTTTTCACAAGAGGTGATTTAATTTTTCCATCATTTTCCAATTTCCATAAATTTGGTTTTAATTTCATATTTTGCGAATAATCAACTACCAAACATTATGTTAAATAATGCTTTTGTACAAGTTTCTATTAATAATTTTTCATTAGGTGTCATTTACGTTTTATTTCATGTAATTATCCTTTCATTTTGATGACCAACGTAAGATGTTAGACTTCACTTTCTTCATTCTTGAGAAGAATTGTTCATGTATGTAAGTGCTTCTTAACAAAGCTTACATTTTCAATGCATGTCGACCAAGATTAGGGAACGCATCCTCAGAAGCGTTGTCTTTGTTAAATGTAAGCAAGAGTAAACCGAAGAATGTTCTGTTAAACAATTGTTGGAGTGAAGTTCAAGCAGCAGCATTTGTACTAAACCTCGTATATCAGCGCACATTGTTTTGCAATTTCATTTAATCCATTAATATTTGTTCAGATGATGAGTATTTAAACTAATTTTGCCATATTTTTATTAAAATCAACAAAATTTTCACAAAAAGATATCCTGTCATTGACAAAAGGGTTATGTGAGTCGGAACCACTCGAGTTTGTAAATTGTACCTAGATGTTAAATACAACGAAACATATTGCCAGTGTAAAGGCAAAAAGATATCTGTTTTGGATTTGTTGCGAAAACTTCATGAATGAAAGTGATGCTGAATAAAAATCAAACACTGGAATCGAATTCTTCTAAGAATGATAAGACTTTGTTCACTTGCAGATTCGTCTAGACATTTCTAAGATAAAGATACATAACCTTAGATAAGAGATCAGTAGCACGATCCATGCATGTGGCATTTCCTGACGATATGTTATCGACCGGCTGTCTAAAGTTAGATGCATCGATTATTAATTTATGCTAAACTAATAGTGAGTTAAAAATAGATTTTGTATATGTTCAAATGCTCGTACATTGTCTAACCAGTTTTTTTTTTTTGAATGAGTATTCTTGTAAATATTAATGCTAAACATAATAGATTAAAGTAAATGTTAAAGTACTGATGCAAATGTACTATATGTAAAAGACTGCAGTGGGATATAAATCTAGATACCCTGTATATAGACAAGGAGATTCATGTTGAGTCCTTTTAGGCACACCATGTCAATTCTTAATAAAATGGAGTAAAGTCAGTTCATTAGTTAGATACATACTTGTATATACTTGTAAATGAGATATACTTGTAAATGCAAAGTTTCTCAATATAAGGTTATTTTAGTTGCACCTTTATTATTTTATGTTTCCTATACCTTCTACTCCTTCCGTCAACCGTCACCAGAATGCACTTAGACTGAGTTTAAAACAGCAAACTAATTAGTAGCTTTGCAAGAGGACTGTAGCAACTCGCCAGCGAAACTTTCCACTCCGATCTCAAAGTATTTGGTGGTGTATTTGTTAGCTCGTAGGTTTTTTTTTTTTTTTTTTTTTTTTTTTTTTTTTTTTTTTCATTGATTAGCTACAAAGTTCCAGATATTTTATAGAAACTCAACTTTCGGATCATTTTCTGTCATGGCAATTAAATTCGCAGTTCCATACTTAAGGATTCTTTACCAGTGTGGTTTAATTTACATTTTTCAAACTAAGAAAGCCTTAAAATTTCACGCTAAGGAGCCTGGGGCGTGTGTTAGGAAAATAGAAACACGTAAATCCTCTTTTGCCCAACACTGTTGGTCAGAAGATCATATTTTCCATTTCACTGCAGACACAATTATTCGAAAAACATCTTCCTTTTGCGCACTACATTTTCTAGAGGCGTTTCAGTTTCATAAAAGTCTTTCAGTTCTAGTTAACGATCCTAATTCCAATCCGTGTTTACCCTCAGCTTTTAAGGAAATTATTTCGTAATTGTTTTCATTTTTCATCACCAGAGGGTGCCAGTAACTTATCTTCCTTCTTCTCATTCTTATCTCATTATTTCATTTTATAATGGTTTCTCTTTCATTATTTGCACTTCTGCAGCTGAAGAAGTAGGTTCTATATTTAAACCTACCAAACTTTCCTGCAAATTTATGAATATTACGCTGATTCTTATTGCTTTAACTCTTCTAGTTACAGATATCATAATTATTTTTCTTTACCTGATTTAAACGAAACGTTTAAAATGTAAAATAATGAAATACGTAAGGAAGGGTTTTATTCTAAATGTATTTAAAAAGAGAATGGCAATCAAAGTTATGTGTTCAAAAATTAGCCGCTTTTATTTTATTAATAAGCCTAATCATAGCTTATCCGGGAATTGGTATTTGAAATTATTACACCCAGTTAGCTTGAATAAACAAGTTTCTTCTTCAATATGAATATGAACAAAGAGAATTATAAACTACGCTAAGTTGCAAACTTAATACTCTAAACTTAATAAGTTGTAAACTAAACCATCGCAAAACATACATATGTAATTTTATTAAAACACATATTGTTTATTAAAACATACATTATTTAAGCATTAATAAACATTTATTAAAAGATACATTATTAAACGTTTATTAAAACATACATTGCACATATATTATATTCAGTGAAAAAGCAGCTTTCGTGCAGTTTTTACTGTAAACAGGGGCGCGCAAATTCCTAAGATGTATATAAGAAAATATATGTCAATTACTAAGATGAGTTTGTGATTAAATGCACTGGTTTTATTCATGCCAATCACTAAGATAAACGTGATTAAATGCACTAGTGTTATTTATATAATTTATTATTTGGGTATAACTACATTCATAATTAAATGTATTAAATGTATGAAATGAACTTATACTTTAGTGCGGCCAAATTATAACAACATCAGATTAAGTTTTGAAAGAAGATTTTTATTGAATTACATTTTTGTGATTTTTCTTTATTTATTGACTAAACATTGAAATGATTCATCTTCATCCATCCAAGGTACATGAGCAAAATTGTGGCACATGGGATTACCTAAAGGATCAATTTCTTTCGGTTGAAGAGGAAGAGAAGTGGCGTTCAATTCTCTCAAGCGATCCAATAAAGACTCTACAATCTAAAAAAACATTTACAAATCACAGTTTAATAATTCTAATTTCAGTCTCATTTAAAATAGACATGTATCAACATACTTAATAAAAATAAGTTGTTAGGATTGTAAATACTCCAAAAGTTTATTTCATAATTAATTAATAACCAAATTATTTTATCATTTTTCTTGCATCATCTTTTCCAAACCATCAACTCATGTTCTCGGCATCTCATAATTCACTGTTATTTATGCTTTGCGGAGAAGATAAATGCCTCGTTCGGTCCCTACTAAAACCATAAAAGAAAAAGATAGTTGAAGGAATTTGCTTTATCTGTAATAACTTTCTTCAAATAATTTTAATTCTGAACAGAGTGTTAGATTTACCTGCAGATTAATAACAGTGAGCCCAGAAAGTTTTTCTTCTTCTGTGTTGTTATTTAATTTTATTTAAGAGCATGAAAGGATATATTCATAATCTTTGCAACAGAAATTTTTAATCTCTTAACTAAATTATGATGCGTTCTAATCAAGTAGTTTCATATTCTCGTTACCTCATTTCCCGTTACCTTGACGTAGCCCATTTATAGTATAGTAAAAAAGGTTGCCAAATTTTCTGCATTTACACCAGATACAAAATCTGCATTAAGAATCGTATGAAAAATACTTACATCGGGATATAATCTTGCTACATTCTTGTACTCGCATGGATCATCTGTTATATTGTATAAGCAAGGACCTTCTGAAAAATCACATCTACCCGATACGGGGAGGAAATTTTCTCCGCATATAATTGCAGCATCTTGTCTCCATGTGTCATTTTCGGGCAAAATCCACTGTTTAGATTCCATCAGAAGGTCTTTTATAAGGCTACCATTTTTCCAAACCCATTCATCTATAGAGTTAGTAACATTACTTTCTTCCAGACCCGACGGGCCATACCATTCGCTTCCATTCAGTTCAGTCCCACTCACAAGCAGTTTCATATCTCCTTTTCTTAAGGCTCCAACTTGATCAACAGGATCAATGTTCAGAAGAACTTCCTCTCGTGGAGAAGGTTTCTCTTCGTCGATGAGCACTGGCCACATATCCATGCCATCGATATCACCAAGATCGTTGATGTCACCCCCTTTAATAATAAAAATAAATTGTATTTGCTTAATTACATATATAAAATAAGAAAGGCAAGTAATAAAAATACATGCTATCAAACTGATCCTTTTCGATGGAATTAGGGCACGATTATAAAACATCAGCCTAATTTTATTCGAACTTTTTACCTCTGCGAAAGAAACTGTCAACGCCGAAAAGAAGTGACGTCAAGATCCAATGTTTGAATTTTGTTTAACATGAGGAATCTGGCAACTTCTATTAAAAAGGAAAAGTAGTAAGCCAAAGCTGCTTCACGCTATACGTACGGCTATACATACAGCTTTGGTAGTAAGCTAGCCGCCATTTTGTGAGCCCTTGTATGTGTGTACGTGTGCGTGCGTGTGTGTCTGTATTCTCGTTGGGCTAATGAAATGAAATCTAATGAAATTAGATTACGTGTTTTTTAAGGTGCATATGCAAGAGTGTTCATCCGAGTAAAAAAGGTATATATTCTCATCTGTATGCGTAATTTCTGAGAGCAGAAGTAACATTGAAGGTGATATAGTCCGCTATATTTATAGATCTAAATAATTTTATTTACGTGTGTCATTTGATTCAATGTTCGCACAGAATCAATTGATATGAGAAAGAAAATATTTCTAATCTTATACGCAATCAAAGTCGAATCGATGTATACTTTCTTTTCTTTTAACGTAAAACTGATATGTAAGTTATTTTCTTTTAAAGTAAAACTGATATGTAAGTTATTTTCTTTTAAAGTAAAACTGATATGTAAGTTATTAAACTTTCTTTTGATTAAATTTTGAATTTAATGAGAAAAGCTTAAAAATAGTTTCAATCCTCTTTAATGTTTTTATTTTAAGAGGTTTAAAGTTACAAATTAATCCAGAAATATGCTCGCAATAACAAAAATGTTACAATTATTTCAATAAAATAGCACGAAACATATTTTTATTTACCTGCCAGCTGGTAAAAAGTCGGAAGCCAGTCTGTAATATGCATCAGTTGCATAGAAATCCTTGACCTTTTGAGTTTCAGTAAAGGACTCCAAACAACGCACAGAGATCTCACTCCTCCTTCCCATAACTGAAATTTTCCTCCTCTGAGCGGCCAGTTAGAACCTGATCCAGACGCCCCTCCATTATCAGAACTTACTACAATTATAGAATTCTGCAGCATATCTTTATTATTTAAAGCTTCAAATATTTTTCCAATGGAAACATCCAACGATGTAACCATGCCTGAATAATATTAAAACAGAAATTAAAAAATGTGAATTTATTAAATGAAAAATATCAAGATTTTATTTGTACATATCAAATTATAATATTTTTCATAATATTTTATTATGATTTTTTAAATAAATCCACATTCCTAAGCTCAAACTTAAAAAACAAAGTACATATAACCCCCTTTTTTTTAGTAAGAACGCAATGTTAGAAATTTCACCTGTATAAGATTTCACATTCCAAAAATCTGACATATTTAACTGACAAATTACTTGATTGAAGACGCTTTCATAATTTTAGAATTTTCTATAATTTATTCTTTAGGGAAATATGTATAAAGTATGCATCATAATCTAGTACTAATTTCTATGAAATTCTGATATAAAATGTAAGCGATATGGACTGATTGTTCATGTTTATTTTTTGACATTAAATCAAATTAATAATTTAATTACAGTTTTATGTAATTTTTGTATCAAATTAATTGAAAGCAGAGTCTGAGGATATAGCAAAGGAAAAAACAGGTTTTATACATTTTACGTAACCGAATACTCTCACACAATCGTGTGATTGTATTCTGAGCACAGGAATCGTGTTCTCGAAATATTGTATCTAAGGGCGCCTGTCGATTTATATAAAACATAGCAGGGGCTCTGAAAATTCTGCTGAAAATGTTGTGACTTGAATCATTTTAGAAAATCTGAATATTAAACCTAGAGTGAGTTGATTAATCAATATGCTGATTTGATACTTAAATGCAGTCAATGATTTTTATTTTCCATCGTCTTTATGCTTGGATTTTCTTTTCCGTCATGTAGGAAAATAAATATGAGATAACTTTAGAATCAGGAATCACTGTACATTTTAGCTTTTTTTTTTTTTCCTATGACTTTGAAAGACCAGATTTTATTTAAAGAAAATTTTAAATTAAAATAAGAAAACACGAATTAAGCACTTACTTTAATAAAAACATCCTTGAAAATTTCCATTTATGAGTGATAAATATTACATACAGTAAATTCGTATGGAAAACTAAACCAATGAGCAGTCACAAATCAGTCATGAAGAAAAATCACCGGTACCCAAATAACATGCTTACAATCTGTGTGTCTGATTATTGACAGAAGAATTTTCAGTACATTTACTTTTCTAACCCATCTATTTTAACTATTAAAAATCAGCTGCTTTTGGACTTATGCACATAGAAATTAATCGCATGATACCAACCTGCATAAATTCGTCTGTTGATATCGCTTATGTGATTGTTTAGCTCATACAACTGTGCTGGTGTCTGCAGAGGAAAGAATGGATTTCCAACATGGGAAGCAGCATGAGACACGAAAAGGAACAAAGGCTGAAAATTATACATATAAATTAAATTTTGAATGTAACATTTCAAAAGTGCCTAAAAGCCTGAAAATTCATTGCATTAATTTCTCATTCTAAATAGTATATTAATTCATAACAGGAAAATAAATTACATTTAATGTTTTACTGAATACCTTTGTAGCATTGTGTTCTTCTATGACACTTAAAGTTTTCGCTGTGAACACATCTGTTGCATATTCGCCCCGGAAATCTCGAACCACTTCTTCATTCTCCCACAGATCGATTCCAAACAGCTCAATTGACTGCAATAGTAAATAACCGAAGACTTACATATAAAGTGACTACTAGTTAAAGAGAGAGAAGTAGCTGTAAAAACAATTCTCAAGTATAAAAGGCCTTTGTCAAGGTAAATGCAGTTTAAATTTTAATAAATTCACTGTCTCCTGAACACATTTCTGCATTATCGAATGATTTTTTTCTATTCAATTTAAATTGTTTTTCATAAAGACTTTCTCCAAATGCTTAAAATATTATCTGAAGTAAAAGGAAACAGATACCTGGAGACTAAATTTTTGTACCTAATTGAAAGAAAAGCATCCCAGTTTAAAAATTTTTAATTAGGCATAAAACATAGATAGACGTAGGTTTTGAACACGATTCTATCGATTTCAAGTGCGATCAGACATCTTCTTCAAGTGCAAAACACTTGTGGAGCTAAATCTGATTGTCCTCGAAATCGATAGACTTTGATTCAAAATTTATGCCAATCTATGGCTGCTTTTCTTGCCTAATTTTAAATTTTTATAATTAAATTAATATATGTGGTTAAATTTACTACTCAAAATAATTCAAGGAGGTATGTTAACAGCTTTTCTTATTTTGTTAACCCAGAAGGGCTATTCATTTCGCCTTGGCATTTTACGTTGAAAACTTTAAATATCCGTTTCACATTTCAAATTGTTGCCACCAAATATTATCGCCCTGTGTTATATTTAAAGAAATTAAATAATGAAGAAACTGCATAAATGTATGCATGTCTCTCGCATTGTGATAAAACAACAGTACCTAGAGGCATCAAATTTTGAATAACGTAATCCTTCATTGAATATGGGCATCTGGAAGCCCTAATTTGGAATTTGTTTTATTATCGATTTCATATTTTGTAACACTTTAACGAATTTTTGTTTAACAAACTCAATGATTTAAAAGCGAGCAATAGCAACACTGTATGGGAAAAAAATTATCTCTTGCGCTCGAGACTGTGTATCGTAAATTCTAAAGATATGCTCATTTTAAAATTATTTTACGATATTGCTTTTGAATTGAGTTTTATGGTTTAAGCACGAAGAACATGATATTTAATAAATAAAGATAACACAAAAAACGTTAAAAAAACGCCCCTTTGGGCGTAATGTAAAATCCGAAAGCTTTTAGACATTATTTTGGGGGGGGGTAATTTTTATTGTCCTTTTTACCACTTTCTACCTGTTTTATTACTTCAATTTTAAGCACGAAATATTAGCCTTACAGCTTACATGTTATAATCAGTCAAGGCAAACACATAGAGGCTATCTATCTTAGGAAGAAATGCCTTTGCGTAGGATCGTCTAAGAGAAACTGGCTGCTGTTTATGTTATACGTGAATAACGGATTATTCAGTTTATCATAGACCATGATAATAGTAAAGGAATTACGAAAGCAAATATTATATAATGTTGTTTTTATTTATAGTCAGTTAAGCACAGAGCCCTCATTCAGAATTTTTTTCTGAAATTAATTACAGACAGCAAATGCAAACTTGAATAAAAAATTTAAAAAAATAGCAGCGTATAAAAAGAGAACAAGTAAAAATGCCTACAAGATTTCATATTTTACATTTTCTAAATTAACCGTTAATCATTTAGATGTAAATAATTAAAAGAGCTGTTTTACTATAAATAATTTAGTGATACATATTCTGAGCCATACAGATTTGTTCCCACCGAAAATTGTGCTCACCTGCGGCGAGGAGTATAGTTGCTGAACGCTGGTAGTTGGAGCTGGGTCAGTACATTCTTAAACAGAAGCTCAGCTACCAGACCGTGATGTTACAAACTGGCAACTGATAATCGCCGTTGGTTATCCACTTCCAGCCTCTCCTTTTTTTACTTTATATATATACAGAGAGAGAGAGAGATGAAAACAGATATTTTCAATTCACTCGTGGATGTAATATTGAAAATATGTTCATATGTACAAAAATACATTGTAAATTATTAACTTTTGTCTGTTCTTATATGTTTACGATTAAATAACGCCTTAATCTGATGTTTGACTTAAAATAAGTAACAATAATGAAAAGTTAGAATCCCCCCTTATTAATAATATTCAAGTCCCTTAACTGCATAACAAATATACAGGAAGGATGCATAGAAATATTTTTAAGGAATCCAGAACCTTTTAAATTTCATCAGGACAAATATATAAGCACATTTTGTTTGGACAATTAGTCATTTATTTTTTATAGTACTTTTTAAGGAATATGTTAGTGGCCACACGCGCATACACGTCAGCTGCTCTTTATTTTTTCCCTCGAAGCCTAGTTTTTTCTGTTGATTACAGTAAGGCACATAAGGGCTGTCTGTCTAAGGGAAGGAATGTCGTCATAGAGGATAACTACTGAGAAAAACTAGCTCGTATTTCATATTACACATTTTAGAAACCTTGTAAAGTCCATGTAGCTAGCCGGCTTTTAAAGATTAGAACCCAGGTCTAACTGCCAGAGTTCAATAAGAGCCTTGTATAGCTGAATTTTCTCACTTGTACATTTGCACATTATAAAATGCTTCCCTTTTTTAATAGGTTATTTTTTCCGCAGGGCTTCAGAATTCCGCAGGGCATGCGTTATCCTTCATGGGTCATTTCTTAGCTTAGCTTTCTTAGCAAAGCTTAATATTATCTACATGCTACCATCCAACTTTTAGCGATATAACAAGACATGAGATAAAAGAGTGAGTTTGAATGTTACTGTTGATTGATTGCTCATAATTTTACTACAAATTGTAACGTGTTTCTCATGTTCTGTTTAACGTTCGTATAATAATTAAGTAACTGTGTATATGTATTTGCAATAACTATTGTTGCTACAAGAATAGCATCTACCGTTTTTCCTAAAAGTTTCTATTACGAGTGCAGTAGTGAGATCAGAATTTGTATTTGATTTCATAATATAGTTTTAACTGCACGGATACAGTTTCCCTTACTTACAAAGTTCGACTACATTTCAGAAAGCTAAATTCTAGCTTCCTATAATATTTTAGAAAAATCTCATGAAACACGAGAGTTCCAGGACAGGGGCAGCTATACTTTTAACATAGCGTCCCCTGAAAACTGATTTTTTGCATACCACCCCCCTAAAACCTGACTTTTTCTACACTGTAGATTGTAGCAGCGACAGGAAGGAGTATTTGCGACTTTTTTTTAACAAGCTGACTGTGTAACGATAAAAGAGAGCTACTTTGTATATAGCGGGGAAATATCTTATATACTACATTTCAAGTCCTTAATGATTGATGTTTACATTACAGATATAAATTTTTTTAAACTACAATAATTTAAAACAATCAGAACTTTAAAATTTCTTTACTAAAAATTACCCTTTACATAATATTACATAATTTTTTAATCTTTTTATTAAACTTTACTACGTTTTGTTTACTTTCTTTGTTTTTAATATTTCATATTCTACTCCCCTTCAAAAAGTTTGTTTTCATATTTTTTTCTTATAATAAGTTTACTTTCTTGCCTTTTTCCCTTATTTATTTTTTATTTACTTATTTTTAATTTTATATTTAAATATTTACATGTGCAACATTTCTAATTCGTTTGTATTAATATTCAAATTCATTTCTATTTTAAAATTTCATTTGATTTGCTTTTACTCATATGTTTGATATAAATGGATTGTGCTAGTTTTGTTTACTTTTAAAATTAGCAAGGTAGTTAGCCAAGGTTCAACACACCTTGTTACCGAAGTGCACGTGGTAGAGCCTATATCATGTCACGGAAAAGGCAATGACAGCATAGGATACCGGACGTCCCTTGCAATTGCACTTCATCCCACCTCCCACCCAATGTATTTAATGATATTTTTATTATTTACTTCGCTAATTGTTCAGTTTCTTTGATTCTGAAATGACCATGAGCTAAAGTATCGAAACCATTTGAGAGTATATATCTTTTATTATCAAATGCACTTAAGCCAACTTTTCTCATTTCCACAGTACTAATTTTATGGTGTTTTGATGCAATTTTCTTCATTGTCACTTTTGACTGCTCATTACTAAACAAACAATGTTTATAATCATCATGTGAGAGCACATTTTTCACAATATATCTAGATATACCTTTGGCAGTTTTTTCTCTTCTTTAGCAGATATGAGACTGTACATTTTTGCTCTTAATCCTATAAATTCAATGGCAGGAACACCTGAGAATTCATCGTTTTCATCTTTCCTAACACTTTTTTATTATTAGAGGGATATGCGAAGTGCGTCTTAGGAAAATTAGATAAATCAAAATAATTTTCATTTTTCAACATGTCTTCATAGACATCCCCCGTTTTAATTTCATAGCATAAAGTAACTCGTGTCAGTAAAAAGTAATTTAGCATTTTTACCATATTTTATCTTTATGAAATCATAATGAAAACTGTACATAAGAGTCTTACTAATGTCTAGTACGGAACATCCAACGTATATGGGTCGATTTAATTTAAGAGATGTTTTCTTCATATTTACTGCTGCAAAATCATCATTAAAAATCGTAAAACCTTTAAACGCAGGAGATGCTACAAGTTTTTTCAAGCATTTTTCATTATTTACCAATCGTATATCGACACGATTTCTCAAATTTTCTATCGTCTTCCCAAACACAGAATTTTTCATTAATTTGAAAAAGTCTTTCTCGAAATCATTTTTAGCTAGTTTTCGTTGTTCTGTGTTAAATTCGATATACGGTTTCATCCATGTGTCTTGCTTGAATTCAATAACTCGATGAATTTTTTTCAAATCCATTCCCAACTTAACATATTGTTTCAGATTTTTTGAATGCAGTACATACATTTTCTTATCATATAAGTTAGGAACAAGTTTCATTTCCAAGAAATAACCCATTCCGACTTTCAAGCATCTTTTTGCAATAAGATGAAAGTATATCAAGATTGATTTTTAATTGTTCCGGCGCTAGAGGATAATCACTATGCAGTTCTTGAAGTTGCTTTGGGTATTCCAAATCTACTTCTAATAAATAACCATATTTTCCA